ATCTATTAAAAAAATGCATCAAAATCCGTTGCGTAGTTTTAAAGATCTCAGCATACATAAGGACAGATAAACACATTTATATTATTATTTTTCAATAAATTACCACGATACATTGAGTTAATGTTGAATAATGTCATACCTTAGTAATTTTTTTACATAGTTGTGACGTAGCAAGCCCGCCACTCTTCAGTTTTAATACCTATTATGTAAGCCGTTTCAGTTAAATTGTAGCAAAGAAAAATACGTATCTTATACGTATCGATTTGCTATTATCTGCCTGGCAGACTTAATCTTATTTGTTACCCTGTCATCGTCCTGTAATATAAATAATACCATAGTTCTATATAATAGAAAAGGAGCTTTCCTTTATTGTCTTCGGTTAGGTGATGGTGGACCTTAGTTGTCTCATATTTCCCATCACCAGAATGTTTTAACATGGGAATTGAATAATTCTCAAGTTAGATAATCGACTCCTTCTTTATAAACAATCAAATCTTCTTTGTTATTCGCGTGACATATTGTAACGAGTTTATGCGAGATTCCCCATAACTCTACGACTTAATAATGGTAATGAACAAAAAAGTTAATATGTGTGACCTGTATGAGAGGCGGTGAGTTGGCCAGCAGTCGGTCCACGTGCGCGGGGCCGCCGTTGATCTCCAGCACGCGGTCCCCCACGCGCAACGACAGCGGACCACACGACGACTCTATCCTACCACACCACACAATAATACTATTTATTCCTCATTTATTTATTATCATAAGCTCTAAGGATTAGAACTTATACCCGATAAGTGAACTTTTTAGCGGGTATTCACTAGACGATGCCTACAGGCAATTTTATAGGTCTGGCAGACATGTCTGTAGACTTGCCCGCGGGCCCGTCTAATGAATTCACCGCATTTAATTTTATTTGTCTCATCAAAAACATTAATCATCTTATTACAAAAGGAACTAACTCTAGTACCAGGCTGTTATCAATTATCCGAACAAAATAAGTGAACATTGAACAACGGTTTTAAACTAAGTTCTGAATTTAGTCATCGTTTTATGTATTGTAGAAAAACACAAACGTTAGCAACCACCTAGTGAAACAATGTAGACTACCTAATGCGGGACATTCCCACCTGAGTGAGCGAGTGAGGTTACGTCACATACATGACGTCACTTAGTGTGCTGGAGTATCATGTGAAATAATTATTATTTGCGAGCGCATATTATTGTTGTTTTATTAATCTAGCAAAAAGTTAAAACAGATATTTCTTCATTGTGCAAGTCATAGCGAGTAAAAGTGAATAGCTTTCTCATATTGTTTTGAGCATGTATTTTGTTCACGAGAAATATAATTCACATTGGAATGACGTTAACAGTGCTTAAAACTAAAGAACATATATGAATATGTGAATAGTTGGTTACTCGCAACTTCACCCGAGTAATTATAGCCTATGTCACTCGCGTAATATGTAGCTTACCGTAAGTGAAAGAATTTTTAAAATCGGCTCTGTAGTTTCGGGGCCTATTTAATGAAAACAAACAATCAATTCATTATTTTTTATAATATTAGTACAGACTACTTTAATGCTATGAAATGGCTAGAACACATTAAGTCCATGCTGTACGAAATATCGAATAGCGTTAATAAATTTGAGCACGCCTATCTTAAGGATACTCATAGTTGAACAAATATTTAAAAAACTTGCTGTGTTAATGTCTCATTGGATAACTGCGTTAGGTATCAAATAACAATATCACATGACGCATGGAATGTTACAGGTAAATTGAAAGGAAGATAAAACAAATGTTTTGATTACTAAATGTTATCTTAGTCACAATATTCAATACAGGAAAAAATTGTAGTGAGTGTACAAAATTTAATATTAAATTTATTTTTTTACTATTTTTCAACCAGTGGAGATAAATAATAAAAAGATGCCTATAAGCATATTGCTACTTTTTTTTTTTTTTTCAATATACTTACTTACATTTTGTTCACTACTATTGACAATAACATGAAAATGTTAATAAATTCTTTATTGCCCCATGAAAATAAACATTTACTCTTTAGTTATATGAAAATAAAAATTACCATTTGAAATAGAATGTATGACATTGAACTTTTGTTTATGGCAATACATCGAATTAGTCTAGGAACTGGTTCTTCGTATTTGAACAATAATTAATTATTATTTTTAGGTACAGGGATTCACCACTAAATACCTCCTCTTTCTGTTTCTGCAACCACATTGAGAAAAGAGGTACAATAAATCTGCCTTACTGCTTTCAAGCGATTTATTCCTGGCAACCTTTGTATGGAATGACAAGACAATAAAAAGCAGACTAATACCACTAAAACTACACACAAAAAAAAACCCAAAAAATCAAAAGGAAACAGTTCGAGTAATAAAAGTTAAATAATAACTATCTAAATACGGACGGATCAACATGACACCTGGCTGGGAACACCAAGCTCCCGCCTATCCCTCAATGCCCGCCGTCGCCAAGCAAGCTCAGTAGCGGTAGCATACCTGTAACGTGTCTATGCTATTTAGAATTCAAGAATTATTCTCTTGCTGTTACTTATTTTTATTTGATTTTTGTTACGTTTGGACGTTTATTGGTGATATTTTTTGTTATAAAATATATTAGGGGTTAAAGTATGAAATTGCCGTTTTATTGTAATAGGTTCCTTGAATTGACATAGAATCTTCTTGATTTGAGGTTTTCAAAAGAAACTTTTTTCACAGGGTCTCTATGATGTTCTTTTTAAATATGTGAAATATTAGAATATCGACTTTCAATTGTTTTTTAGACTTAGACAAGAGAGATGGATTTTGCGATTCGAGTGATTTTTGGATAAGAGTTCCGACGCGGAAGTAACGCGGCAGAAACAGCCCGCAATATCAATGTTGCGTTTGGAGAGGGGTCTGCTAATGAACGCACCGAGCGATTTTGGTTTAAACGCTTTCGTGATGGAAACTTCGACTTGAAGAACGAGCCACGAAGAAGACACAAGAGAATAATGATGAATTAAGAGAGATGGTGGAAGCCGATCCTAGTCAAACTAACCAAGAATCAGCGGCAAGGTTTAAAGTGACCTTACCCACAATATTGACTCATTTGCGTCAAATCAATAAAATGAAAAATATGAAAAATGGGTGCCTCGTGATTTGACTGATCTGCAGAAAGAAACGCGTGTTGAAACTTGTGTTGCCTTGTTGAATCGGTAAAGAAATGAAAGAATATTGGATCGAATTGTGAAATGTGATGAAAAGTGGATTCTTTATAATAACAGTAAAAGAAAAATACAATGGCTTACCCCAGGTCAAACGCCACAACTGTGTCCTAAAGCAAAACTTACCAATAAAAAGGTAATGGTAACTGTTTGGTGGTCTCAGTATGGTGTTATTCACTATAGTTTTCTCCGATCTGGTAAAGCAATAACGGCAGATGTCTACTGTGCCGAACTCTGAACAATGTTGGTAAAACTAGTAGGTAGTCAAACAGCTCCGACTCATGAATCGATCTTCACCATTGTTGCTCCATGACAACGCGAGAACTAATACAGCACGAGAAACCGTTTTGACCCTTCAGGAACTGCAATTAGAAACCATTCGTTATCCTCCGTATTTGCCAGACCTTGCTCCAACGGACTTCCTTTTTTTTCGTGATTTGTAGAATTATCTACGAGATAAGAAGTTTTCTTTCCAGGAGGCAGTACAAAATGCTTTCACAAAGTTTGTGCAGTCTAGATCTCCACAGTTCTATCGCAAAGCCATAAATGAACCTCCTATTAGATGGCAGCAATGTATAGATAATAATGGTAACTATTTTGATTAAATATATATTTTTTTTAATTTAAAAAAATATCAATTTTGATTTTCAATAAAATCGGCAATTTCATACTTTAACCTCAATTATTATTAAGTTGGAAATCACAACTTTTTTACACTCTGTACTTTGTTCAAACGTCGTTCTAGCTAGGTGTCATTTCAATTCGTACGAGTAGACCGACCAAAACGTCATAACACAGGCGACAAAATAAACACTAAAGACTTGCGCCGTTTTCAAACCCAAACAAAGCAAAGCGACTTATTCATCGATTATAGTTTCTCGCACAAAAACTAAAGTACCCATAGCAAACAAAATTATTCATTAGCAACAATCGATAGTTGGCAGCTGTAAGAATGAGGCATTGTTGAGGCAATACCGTATAGAGGTACGCGCGTGCCTGCGACAGGACAGGTGTACGCAGAGCGACAGCAGCGCGTGCAGCGCTGCGCGCGCCACCGGCCCGCACCCGCCCTCTCCACCACTACCACCAGGAAAGTCAATGTGAAAAAGTCAAAATATTATCGAAATATCTTTATTCAAATAAAATTACTAAAAGTATTTTTGAATCGTCCTACATTTTTTTAGGTATCACTCATTCAGGACGATTTTAAATGGATAAGAAGAACGACCGAAATAAACTCACCAGCTGTAACAGAAGTAACGCCATTTACAAAACCATGTCATTACTAAATCAATATCACAAACGAACCTAAAGTCGGCAAAATCGCAGAGTATAATTACAGAATCTCATGGTGACCTACCGACTGCATCATCAACAGAGCAACCACCTTACTCTCTAGCCATGTTTCTAGCCATAGGATACTATTAATTTGTTTGAGTAATAGTTCACTCACTGTGTGACGCGAAGTGTGTCAGCGTCGGGCGTGAATCGTATCGCACCAGCGGGTACATCCATCAAACGAATCGCGTGTGATTTCTGCCACGTGCAACTCTCGTAACACGGCCCACTGTGTTAATAGCAAATAAATAAAATTTAGTGATAATGTTTTTATTTATAAAATAATAGGTTTTGCATTAAACACTGTTTCTATAACATACAATTGATTTGATCTACTGAGTGCCAGTCTAAGCACGGATCTCATAAATCGAAATCATACTTTTCACTAATTACAAGGAACATGAATAATAATTTTCTATCTGGGTTAACGAATTTTTCCTTCAAAATACATTTAAAACTCTAGTTTTTGTATTTATATCAATGAAAATAACAAGTTCTAAATTTATAGTTTTAATACAGAATTTGTGTCTATTTAAATATAATAAAAAATCTAACCTTGTCGCTGTTATGACGTCGCATATTGGTATACTCCAATTGAAATTTTAAATGTGTTTTCTTTAACAAGCTATTGAAATATCGGACTTGTTCTTATAGTTATTTTATGCTTACGTAATAAAATCCATCCACCCAGTCCCGTTGGGGGTTTTAGGTGAGTGTGTAAGTAAAAGCTCACCAGTAGAGTCTGGATCGTTCGTGTAACGCGTATGACTGGCCGTCCTCTATGTGCGCGGCGCACGAGCAGCACGAGAAACACTCCGGGTGATAGCGGTGCGAGCCCGCCGCCATCACCGGCCCGGTGATCACCTACCACCCAAATACATGTTTTTAGACAAACCTCACAAATATTTCTATGCAATCCAACCACATATTTAAGTAAAACGAACACATATCTATATATTTTTAGGTAAACCTAAGACATATTTACATAATTTTAGATAAACTGAACACATAGTTACGTATTTTTAGATAAAATACAAACACATTCTTTTGTTGTTAACTAAAGGACTACAGGTTCTTAACGCATTCACTACCTTGCCCGCCCATCTGCTTGTCTTGATTAGAGTTAAAAAAATATTTTATTATAATCGATTCATAGCCTAAATGGCATGCGGATATATGAAGTTTTGGAAAAAACTAAATTTTAACGCTAATGCCAAAACCGCTCATCAGCGAGCAAGACAAAATTCCGGATTTAGAAACCTTTTATATAATTTTGATATATGATCATTAAACTTTAGTAAAAAGGTTTATATATACAGTGGCATAGCTACCAAGGGGCTAGGCGGGGCAGTGCCCCGGGGCCCTCGAATCTTTACCATAAAATATCAAGCGAACTCAACTTTTGAAAATTTCTCAAAATAAATATGACAGGTGACAACTCGAGTTTAATCATGGCAACTCAATTGTGAGAAATTCCAAAGTTATAAAAAGGGAATTACCCTAAATTATTTGTGTGTATTTGTTGACAGTGTTATTAATGTTTTCATCAATTTGTCGGATATCAATATCTGCATATTATTATTTATCGATATGCGTTTTTGTGATTCGCCATTGAGAACTTCGAGTCAAGTTTTTTTTTTTGGAGAATGGTTAAAAAGTTAATGTTTCAGGAGTAAGTAAGCGTATGTCAATAATTTTTTTGTACTGGACCATACAAAGTTCAATTTTATTTGATTATAGTACTGTTACGGGGGCGGTCAGGAATGGCTTTTAAAAAAAACTTATTTTATTTAACACTTCGTTTATTTGTATGAACAACACGATTTATTACACTATTTATTATATTAGTTCAATATGTTGTCCGACGGGAGTCTAATCCAAAACTGATTTTATTAAATATTATTATAGCGTTCAAGACTCGGTTTCCTATTGCATGATGACAATGCGATAGGAAACGTCTATGTTGCGTTTTTCATTTTAATAATAACTAATAGAAATTATATTATAACAGTTCGTATATATAGTTACGTAAAGAAATCTATAGATTTCGGCTACTCACTATACAACTCAAAATACCGTCAAAAATACAAGTCACATGCCCTCCATTAATTACGTGATGTTTTTTTTTGTCATTTTGGTAACACTGGCGGCGATAAAATGTTTGCCAGAGATTCCCCCAACGACATCTTGTATCGTATCATTACGTTTCGCTTTCCTTTTACTTGTAAAATAAATTAGAAAACTAATAATTATGGACAAAAAAAAAGAAACCTATTGGTGCATTTAAACGCAAACAACGCCAAGAAAGAGAAGAAAGTAAACAAAAATTTACAAGGTTTTTAGTCAGCCTTCTTCAAGTACTTCTGTACAAAATATTTCTATTGATAATTTTTGTAAATAGCTTGCATGGCGATAGGTTAAATAACAGTAAGCTGGTGCAACGTATATATGAATAAATAAATATATAATAAACCCTTGAATCTTTTATATTTCGTTTTATTGCCCAATACCTACACAAAGTATAAAAATAATTGTAATTTATGTTGTTAGTGTTTAATAGTCTATTACCTGCCCATGCACGAAAAAGAGCTGATGAAAAGTTGCTTAGCATTTTTAAAGTATTTGATTATTTAATGATTTTACTTCACTTTTTGAGTGAGGAGCTAATAGCAAGTTAGTTCGAATGAAAAGACGACTCGATACTTAGGTACTCAATATATTCAAGATTGAGGGAATGGGTTAAGTTTTATGAGTTTTATGGAACGATTCAGGTTTGTTTATGTGTTTCTTCACAAATACGTATTTAATATTTTATAGATAAATGATATTAAATAGTCTTAGTAAAAATCAAAGTTAATAAAAATGTATCGGTTTTATTTAGAAATATATTTATATGATTCGAAATATAATTGATTGATCGATTTTAAAAATGGAACATTTGACACTACTGCAAATAAGTTGCGTGTTGTGATCATTCTGTTAAATAATAATCTAATAAAGTTTATTTCTTAGAATCTAAACCAAAATATGTTTTGGTTAGCATTACCGACTCCCTCCCTCATTTTGTACCAAACGGCAATGTTGCGCGCGCCTCGCTACGTACTCATTCACTGCTACTATAACATCATCTATCCTCACCTCAAATGAGGGGTAACTCGCGAGCCCCTCACGAAGGTACTCGCGAGCCCCTCACGAAGGTACTCACTCGTCCTCATTAAAAAAGAGTGAGTTACACAACGCTAGATTGAAGCTATGTGGTTTTAAGTAATGATGTGCCGATTCGATTATTATACACATCGATTAATCGATCATAGTATTACTCGTAATCGATTAATGACAACGATCATTAAATATTTTTACCCCAAAGTTTATTAATGATTTCAGATTAATTACACCGTATTTCAAAGCCATTCGATTTAATGAAGAATGGTTAAAAATCAATTTTAAGACAATGTTTACTATACCAGGATTTAACATGCAAAATTTATGGAATTTAACAAGCTGTATTCGCGATTTCATCCGCGTGGAAAGTAGCCTTAGTAATGTATTTAAAAAAAACATTAGTTCCTGAAATCAAACTAGATGTCGCTACGGTACGTTATTGATTTCTCCATGTCAACCTTTCCGGTTTTCTTTCATGTTTAAAAGTAAATTAGTTTTCAAAACTAAATAAACAACTCATATTCTATTTGTACTTTTTCATATTTGTATTGATATCTAAGTTGCGAACTTTTCAAATTTCAGTTTTTTAATATGTTAGTTAAAAGGAACGGAAATCACTGTCTTTGATCCATTCGTTTCCTGCAAAAATCAACTTTTGCTAGAGTCGCCATCCAGTGGAGGTGTTTTTTAAGTGCTTTCGTTTTTTTTTATACTTTTTCATTCCTTATTACATAAGCTATCGGCCATGAAAATCCCGTTTCGGAGTTTAGCCGCAACAAACAGACACAAAAAATGTAAAAAATATTATTTTGGTATAGGTATGTACCGTGTATACTTTCATGTGCATTTAGTAAGAAGCGGTTAATTTGTATTTGTTAAAATAAAACTGTAAGATCCGGTCATTCATTCATCGGGTGTTCCCCAACTAAAGAGTAAAGTTACCTATTTTTTCATGGGAGTATTCCTGGGATGCCATAATAATAGAATATCTACTAATAATATTCACACTCGTGATCCGCTATGGGTTGCTGAGCCATCGAAGTAATGTAATTAGGTACTATACTAACGTTTTAAACTATTCCCATTGCTAATGTTTTAAGAAATAATCGATGGTTAATCGTCGATTAGGAAATCATCATCGATAGCAACTGATTATTTCAAAAATCGATAAACGATTAATGATAATCGATTTCGCACATCATTAGTTTTTAGCTTGTTTTTACGGATCCGTCTAAAATCCTTCATAGGGTTACTCGGTTGCCTGTCTCTTCGGTCGTTCGTCCTTCTGTCACTGCTTTTCTCCGAAACTACTAGACTGATAAAGTTGAAAGTTAACACACATGTGTAAGTTTGCGACGCAAAGATGATCGTGCAACGTAAACGAATAAATCTTATTTTGTGCATATTTTGCGCCCTGTTCTGACTCGCTCTTAATAATTATAATAATAAATGATCATAATGGCAGAGTCACCTTTGGCGGCCGTTTGGATTTAACATAAGATAGGTGATGTATGTAGTAAGATTTTGAAAACTTTCAACGTTTTCGAGGTTGAAGTTAGCGATTTGTAGTAAAATGGCATGGCATACCTTATATCCGGTATAATTCCGAGATTATATGGGCGGCTATGAAGGCTGCCATCGAATAAGCTGGGTCGAGGAGAAAAAAGTGTGTAGATATATAAAATGAATCAATTTATAGATGTTTAGAAAGAGAAATAGCTAAATACAGGAATAATTTAAAACCACTGCGAAGATTTTGTGAAAATAAACTTTAAGTAATTTAAATAAACACGTATTTTTTATTTTGATATGTTCTAATACTAAAAAATAAAGTTATCGCTTATCAAAGATCGAGATTTTAAAACTTAATTTATGGACACCGCGCGCCGTGCGTCAGCTGAGCCACAGTGTAAATATAAGTAGACAGTGGTGAAACTGCCTACCAGCGTTCGAAATCGCACGCACACATAAACACGTTCACCGACGAGCCGCCTAAGTGGACCTAACAGGACGCTCAGTAACGCGTATCGCGTCGAGATGAGGGGTCACGTTACACGTTCCGCGATCGTTTTTATTTTAAAAAATGAAGGAAAGATTAAGGAAAGGAATAGGCTTATGTGAAATAAAAAATTAGTTTTTTTTTTAGATTTAGATGTTTTTTTTAAATACCCATTTCAGTTTCATGCATATTTTCGGGTTGAAACGTAGTACGGTCCCACCCGAAAATGCTTGATAAACACCCAAAACAGCGCCTGAGCGCGCCACCTAAATACAGTGCCTACCTACCACGCGTCCGATCCGACGAGAGCACGAAACGTTGGACGTTTCGTGCGCTCTTCGGCTATGTGTCCGTCAAAAACTTGTACAAGGTTATGCCGTAATGTCAAGTTAATGACCAACATAAAAACAAAGATTTATAAGTTGTGTCAATATTAAACTATTCCTCGTATGTTAAACTATCGTCTTTTGCTGAGATTAACCGATTTTTAACCGACTTCAAAAATGAAGATTATTAATTCGACCTGTACGTATGCTATATTTTCAGAAATGCTCAGTTTTCGCATAATATGTTATTCTATATCATGTGGTGATATAGAATAATATAAGTAGATATCACAGTCTGAACAAAAGATTTACAAGTTGTGTTAATATTAAACTATTTCTCGTATGTTAAACTATCGTCTTTTGCTGAGATTAACCGG